ATGTTGATGCAGATAAGATCACCGTTTGATATGAATATCAAATACGAATTCAATAATATTGTTTCCAAGCAACGGTGATTTGTCTTTTGTATCGAATTTGTCAAAACCATTCTGAAAAACACATTTGTGTTTCCATGTAGAGTTTGTCTAGTCTTTGCATCTCGGCAACTTGAGATTTGCTGGGTTTGATCATTAAGACTTTTTAATCAAAGTGTCGCAAAATAATTAGATCACTTCCCAGGTCGACCAATCTCATACTCGGATCCGATTGGATCCAGCATAGGATTTGTTGACTTGGGAATCAAATAAACTCTTGCACATCTACATCCATTCCGCAACCGTCACCTTTATAAGTATTATCGACGTTTATTTATCATATCGAAGAGGCGATTCACAAAACTGTACGTCAACCGATGTCATATCACGTGCCCGAAAAACCAGGTAATATCGTGAATGATCACCATATGCATTGAGAAGGCCGCTGATCTATCGTTCTTTGTTATTTAAATCAGGCATTCATATTTGTGTCTATGGATTATTCCCTTTGCGTTTCAGATCTAGATGATGGAATATCATGATTACATCGTATCGAAACACGGACAGAAAGAACTCATATTCAAACAGCAGCGATATTGTTTAAAACAGAAAAATATCAAATCGAATTTACGGCGATGCACAAAAGCACAATGTCCATCCAGTGTCACTGTGTCATTTGATGGACATTTGTTAACATCCAATGATCATCCCAATCATTTTATTGAATCGAATGAAATAAAAATTCTCCAACTTCGACATAACATGAAAAAAGAAGCACAAACAGCATCGGTTCCCATCGATGAAATTGCAGAAGTTGGCTATTCACACATGATTGTTCAAGAACAAATGACTGATTCGATTCCCAAACTACCGAATATAAAGACATTGAAGAATACACTTAGTAAACAACGACGTAAAATACGACCACCTTTACCTAAACGTCTGGAGCATTTGCCACACTCGATTCCGATTCAGTATACTATGACAAAGCGAGCCGATACTTTAATACTTTTCTTTTGTAGGAGGGGTAATTAGGA